TCTCTCTCTCTCCTTCTCACGCCTGTCTGTCTGGCTGTCTGTCTCTCTCTCTCTGCCTCTGTCTCTGTCTCTGTCTCTCTTTTTATTTGAGTATCCCCGTATTTCACCAGGCATGCAGTATCTTGCATAATCCGGTTTGGTCTTCACAATCATGGACAGATAAAATTGAAGTAATCTGCACTTTGCATCATCTAAAGAGTATCGTCAGGGGAGTAAAATATTAAGAAACATACAAAACATTTTTCTAATAATTTTAAGGTTTTTTGTAGTAGAGGTTTTACGGCGCTCGCAACTGCATAAGGTCATATTAGTGCCAGAAGATTAGAGCTGTCACAAGGGAGTAACAAACATATAAAAGAAGAAGGGGACATAAGGACAATAGATGTTTGATAGGAAAGAAGAAGCAAACCACACCAGAGCACCTGCCAACCACCCACTTTTAATCATTTAAGTAATAATACTAAAAATAATAATAATAATAATAATTAATAATAATAACAATAATAATATAACTCAAGAAGTCATACCTCATGGCCATCGTTTCATCCCTCATAACATCTATGTCCACCCACAGCTGGAGGCGAGCCTCAAGGAAAAGCTCCGAAACAACTACTATGACGTCAGGAAAAAGTTTAAGGACAATGACCCTGAAGGCAGGGGAAATGTATCCAGGTAAATTAGATTTCTTTATCTTCGAGTGTGTTATTTTTGCTTTGTTTTGTTTGTTAGTTCAACGAAAGTGCATGTGTCAGTTCGTGATTTGCTATTGATAAATTTGTCCAACTTAGGATTTTCATTATCTAAAGGGGGATAACTCCATTAATGCATCACTAATTTGTAACCGCTGCGATTCTCTCCCTCTACCAGGGAAGCCTTCACCCGTATTCTGGTCACCGTCCTGGGCCGTTCTATTTCCGGCAACACTTGCCAGAGATTGATGGAGAGACTCAACTTCGCGGAGAGACAGGTCATCCCCTTCACCGAGTTCTTCTCTTACTTCAGGTACGGTAAGAGTTGCAAAAGAGTTGCAAACATTTAAAAAGAGGGCAGTAAAGGACAGCAGTAAGAAATAGTGACAGAGGAAGCGAAACACACCAGAGCACCCACCAACTGTCCGCGCTGTTGTTTTCGACAGCACAACCTCCATGAGATGTACAACCAGTGCATACTCGGGAAGGTATATCAATATTGATCTGATGATTGAGCCCAATATATGACTTCTATGTTCACATGAGGAACAAGACATGTCATGTTAGGACAGTGAAAGTCTTTGGTGGAACCATATTGATGAAAATTAGATTCCAAACTGGCTTTACTCCCTTTTTAATCTTGTTCACTTTTTCTGAGTTCGTCGTAAGGCAATGCCTCAGTAAAAGCAAGTCTGCATTTTTTTCTCTGAGATGTGGTTACGTTTCAAACAGGACACAACCCACTGGCGCAAAAAGAACACGATTCTAACAAGAACATTTTTAAAGTCCTCACTGTTTTATAAGAGAGAAGTATTGGTCTCTTTTCCATTCCGGGAAGTGCTCAGTGACAACTTTGAAAAGGAAAATTGTACGAAGTTATACAAGGTACAGTACTGCTGCTATAGAGTGAGTTTGTAGCTACCTTTACCGAATGAGAATGTATAAGTGTCTGCAGTGTTAAAGTGTGGTTTGGCTACTGTGTCAGCGTCTATAGTGTGAAAATATGGCAAAGTGCGAGTATATGCCGACAGTGTCATGTGACTATAGTGGGAACACATGTTGACAGGGTGAGCATGTAACAATAAATGAATCCATCACAACGTGTTACATCACATAAAACCCTTGATCTTCTCTCGTGGTCTCCAGAGAAGCCCAGGAGTCGACGTACCCTCAGTGGATGGACCCAGTCCACCGCGCGAACCAGGACCGTGTCATCATGAGCAGTGGACAGGTGCACGCCAACCTGCGCGAGAAGGCTAAGCAGAGGCGAGTTGTCTCTTTGTCTGCTTCTATTGTTCATCTGTATGCTGGGGTGTTGTTTTTTTATTTGGTGTGTGGTTCCTTTGTTTGTTCGTTGGTTTTGTTTGTTTGTTTTTTGGGGGGTTGTTGCTTTTTTTTGGGGGGGGGGTTGCTGTTGTTGTTTTGTTTTTGGGGGGACGGGAGTTGGGGGGGGGTGTTGTTTTGTTTTCTTCATAGTTCATGGTTTTCTTCTTCTTTCTTTTGTATCAAAATCTGCTCTAAGATGCCTATTTCCCTTTTTTAAATTGCTGTGAGACGTTTATTCTTTTCTCTGAGATAGGATGCTCTAGGACATCTATTTCCCTAAAACAATTTTGTCTTAGACGCTCAATTGCCCCAGAGAGTCAGTTCTAAGACGCCTGTTTCCCTCAAAATAGTTCCTGAGACGGCCTCTGCTCCCAAAAATGTGCTCTGAGACGTATGTTTTACAACTTTTGTCTTAAGGTTCTTGGACCTGGCGGACATGATCCCACAGATGAACCCTGGCGGCTCCGGGCGCATCATGAAGTCAGAGTTCCGGCAGATGCTCAACAGGATGAACTTTTACATGGACGATACCGAGTTTGAGAAACTTTGGCACAGGTGAAGGGATTTGTTGTTGTTGTTGATGGTCTAGTTTAAGCTCCCGTCTCCTCCTACACACGTGCACTCGGGCATACACATACATGCATACATGCACGTAACGTATACATACAAATACAAACAGACATACATACAAATACACACACAGAGACACACACATACGCACACACACACATGCACACATATGCACACACACACACACACACACACACACACACACATAAACACACAAACACACACACACACACACACACACACACACACACACACACACACACACACACAGGTGCACACTTGCATGCTAACCAAACCATCCATCAAAGACAAAGTAGTCATAAGGTCATTCGCCACGCCCACAAAAGATATAAAGTCAAATCATAGACTCATACTTTAATATACAACTTCTAGAAATGTTCGCTTTGACGCAATTCCTGTTCACTATGTAGCGCACCATTTAACTTAATTTGGAGACAAATAGAGAGTAAATGGCGGTTTTGGAAAAGGGGGTGGGGGACACTCGGACGACTATTGCGAGAATGGGGCTTTGCTTGTCCCCCAACTGTGCCCTTGGTGCGCACACTTCGCAGCGAAGTTATTGTTTATGTTGAGCGCAAAGAGCAGCGGCCATGGCAGCATATATTCAAGTTCACTTCTCTGGGGTATAAGCTTGGTTCATCTTGCAGTCCCGCCTTTCTCCTGGGATGCCGTATCTCAATGATTCTGGGTTAATCAGAAAGTCAAGGCTGAAGTAGGCCGCCCCTTAAATGACCTTAATTATGTCGACACGGGAGAGGAAAGGGGTAAATATTTCCAGATATTAGTATTACATAGCACTGTACAAACGTAACCGAAGAGCAATCAAAGCCACAACCTCTGTATGTACAAACACCATTATATTATTTTACTGTTGATCTCCACACAGATACGACCCGGCCAACGAAGGAATCATCAACGGTCAACGTCTGCTGAACAACCTGGGCATTGAGTGGCGGGGCGGGTCCCGGGACATGCCCAGCCAAGTGAGTCCGTTCCAGGATCAGCCACAGCCACAAGGTCGCGTTACCGTGGCAACCAACGGTCCTGGTAAGGGCAGCGTCCGATTGACCCCCATTGAGGATGAAATCGCGAAGACAGGTCAGAGGTCGAATGCCATTTTCTGGCATCGGGTGCTCGTGTAGCTGCACTGTTTCTTCCCCCACTTTTTAAAAGTGTTAACCTTTCCTTTTCTAATTAAATCTTTTAACATTTCTAATATCAGTAGTATCCCGTTAACCGTCACTTTTGTTCAGTTCTCTTTACCTCGTTTTTCTGAATCTGTACTTTTTTTCAAGATTCACTTTTCTCTATTTTGTTCCCGTAGATCCATTAACCTCAATATTTTTTTCTTTTCGATTTTTGAATTTTTGTGTAAAATTCCCTTCTCGTTTTTTATCCCTTCGCTTGAGATCCCAAAAGACAATTTCAATTCAACGTTCTAAATCTTTCGTACTTTTTTTTACCAACCTTGATCTAAAACATACACAATTCTTTTAAGTCAACATTTCAATAATTATTTGTCTCGCTGAATAGAAAGTGTGAAGACAGTGCCAGTTACCTTGACCAGTAAGAATAAAGGTACGCATCGACAGACAATCCACTGAAAATGTCTACTGATAAAGGTGTTTTGTTGAATTCTGAGTGTCACTGGAACAAACTATTGTGAAACCTCTGTTAACTTCGAATTGCTTTACAATTTGCTCAGGGTGTTTAGCAGACTGCAAATCAAACCTTATAAATCTACAGTAAAACAGTTGAACCACTATCTTCACTCCACTCAAAAATTGAATGCTTTGAGATTGTTGACTCCCTAAAAATAGCGACCTCCGCAATCTTTTCGCAATATTATACTTATTATAGATGGCGTCAGAAGATCAGGGGAATACGTTTTGTTTCGTTCCTCGAATTTGACGTAAACATTCTTAAAAGTGCAGTCGTTGCTCTTGCTCTAGGTACAAAATATGTCACTCTTATGTGCAATGATATAGATGTTACTGACGTTAATGAGGACGGTCTATCCTTAAATCTAAGAGAGAAGTGAGCTATTTTGTAATAATATTTGGTAATTGTCCTGTGCATGCTGCCCTCGAGAAAAAGTTACCCAACAAATGCCAGACCTTTTTTCATTATTGCCATATATAGACTTTTCCAACGTCATTGCCCCCTTTTTCTTCTATAGATCCTGCCTTGTAGTCGAGACTTGTTGTAATCTATGACACCCATGGTCTAATGAAAAAAATCATAAGGTGTCGATTCGAAGAAATCATACATAAATTTGTTAAAAGTTGTTCCAAGTTGTAATATTCGTTGCTTTGTTTTTTGATAATATTACTTATTTGAACTTGGTAAGATTTTTTCTTCGTATAAACGGTAAAGACATATGAGAAGAGGATATTTGAGCTTTTTTTAATTTCTAAAGTAAGACCAGACATAGAACAATGTGCCCTGCATAAGAAAATGTACAACAATTATGTAAGCGCTGTGTGCGATAATTCTTCCTGGAGGATTCATTGTTATGCAATTGTTTTTCATTAAAATTAAGTATTTCTTGCCATACATGAACCGGACAGTAATCACGCTTTTCCACTGTAGCAGCAGATAAAGTAGATCATAAGATAAAGTGGATTCTATTGCTTTACGTAAATTCCAGAGCGGAAGACTCGAGTTCTATTGTGTGATAATTTACATGTTTGGGAGAGTAAGGTATCAGGCATGTGGTCACAGAGTCTTCCACTTAGATTTTAAACATTGTCTGTATCTTTTGTTTTGATGTTTTCTTTGTCCATCATATCCACGTCTGTCTTCTCGGGGCAAGACTAATGCTCTCTTCACCAACGAGAAGAAATCCAAAAATCTCTCTCTTATCTCGTATTGAAACTATAGAAACGTAGCATCGACTTTAAAATGAACACTTTTATGTGTTTTTCGTTTTTCTGGTGTTTAGTAGCTGGTAAGTCCTTGTGAAAGCAGTTGTTGAACCTTGCTAACTTCTTTGTTAATTTTCTCGTAGATACACGACGACTAATCTACTCGTTGCACTTTGGACACTGTCTCAACACATCGTCCATATATTTCGTACACTTGATAGCAAGATTCTTCTAATATGTTGGAACAGAAAAGAAGGAAAAAAGGCTGCAAAAATAAATATTGTGAGGTTTTAAAAGTAGATTGAGAGTTCTCTGGATCTTGATGTCACACCTATGGCGTTTTATTTCCTTTTAAAATATTATTTCGATACAAGTGCATGCAGTATAGCTCTATGGTTACGTAGCTGCAAACCATGTATTGGACGTTTGTTCTAACTTTTTTTTCATGAAGATTAAATGATGTTTAGAGGAAGGAGAAAAGACACGAAAGTTTGTTTATAGCATTTATAAGGGGATCAAAATATCGATTCGATGTCTGCTATCGTCTGCTTCAAGTTTTACCAACTTGAACAATGCATACAGAAGGACCAGACTGTATTTGGATAATCTGTCTTACATATTTTTTAAAAAATAATTTGCAACATTCAGACACGATCAATTTGAATGTTTGAAGTAAGCATCACTCTTTCAGTGGAGATGATTGTGTTTATGCTGAATTGCTCTTTGGTCTTTTTTACATCTTGTAATGAAGATGCCCATGCCTAATTAGCCAAATGCGTGCCTGAAAAATGGAAGGTGGGTGGATGGTGCATGGTGTACATTGCTCTAATTTGTCCTTATTTCGTACAGAACGAAGTGAGCGAAGAACTCCCAGGAAGAAGGAGGTGGAGCGACGTCAACAGCTGGACATAGAGAGATGGCTCAAGAACAAGTTCCGCGAGGGATTCTTCAACATGAGGGAGGCTTTTGAGGACAAGGACCCGAGCAGGAGCGGTGTGGTCAGTCATGTGTCTTAATTTGGAATTAGAAGAAAAAAGACAAAAAAGACAGAAAACTTAGGGGATGGGTTATTCATTTATGTATGTGTAAATGGGTTTTTGAAGTTTTGAAGTTGATGTAAAACAGTGTATACCATGTTCTGAAAAAAAACAATGAAAAAGAATGAGCAATCAAGCAATCATTTATTGACATATTTGGCCGTGTGTCATTCTCACTAGTAACTCGTCAAATTATCTCTCTCTCTCTCTCTCTCTCTCTCTCTCTCTCTCTC